ATGATTAATGTTTTCATCAGCCAAGGAAGGATCCATCAACATGTTAGTAGCAACGCATACTAAATCCTYACTAGTATATCAAGACGTCACATTGGTTTGGGCAGCACAGTTACCACATATTCCAGTTGCTGTTAAAGTAGCTACATTTCAGTGAGTAGTACTCTAGCTGTCTCTCTTTACTCACACCTACTTAAATTAACGTTGTTAAGGCCCGTTTACACTATTGTAATTTTTGCAGCGCAATAATCGCCACTTTGCCTTTGAGCGACTCAAATCGTACATATAAACAGCCCTGAGATTGTTGCGGCAACGGAAAATCACTGTGAAGCTGCAACTAATTTTCAAGCATTGTTCGAAACTCAGCTGATGTTCGCACAACGATCACCACAAGAATCACTCTGCAAAAATTGCAAGTGTAATCTGCATGGCCTTCAGGTTGTATTGCTGAAACGTATAACAGCAAACAGGATTCGAGTTCTCAGAAATTCAAATACAGTTGTATTACATTGTATAGGAAATTGCACGCCCTTGGATACAATTTGAAATTAATAGTCACAAGTAATGTTTTGAAAGTTGTTTGTAATTGCACAAGCCCAAGGGCGTGTGCAATTTGAGAACTTTCAAAACATTACATTTATTAAACTAATGTACACTGAAGACCTTTACACTCTGTAAGTAGTAGTTGACAGAAGATATTTTATTTTATTATTATCCAGGGATTTAAAAGGTGTTATCGTAACATTAGATGATGTAGGATATGTACATTGTGCTTATCTTGGTACGGACCCATCCATGATGGTTACGCCWGCTCCTGAGGCTAGGGATATCAACTATGAGGTAAAATATTGCTCTCACTGCAACCAATTCCCTYTCCTTAGTGAGGAAATGGGCTTACATTACAATGCATGGTCATTGAAACTGAAATAGTGAAGGATTGACTAAGTAATTTATATTTATAAATGGATGGGAAGGAAAGGAAATTATCAATGGGACGATAATCATTCCAATTAATTATTCAATCATATTATCGAAGGCTTTAAGATAGGTTAAAGCTGGTAGATGCTCAAATTGCTTCTAATAAAACAAAGTGTTCATTGATCTCTACAGTTTTTTTTTCACTATAGGAAGCAGACAATGAAATGAAAGATTTGCAACGAATTATTAGAGAATCAACTGTTAGTTCAGGTAAGCATTCTTTACGTTAAAAAAACAAATATCCTTTCTTTTTGCTGTGTTTTTCTTTACATTTCTGTCAAGTTTCAGGCCATTTGCTTCACTGTTGAGTGATTTATAGCTGTTGTTTTTCCTGCGTCGATCATAGGTTTATTAAAATTTAATCGTATGAGGAAGTAGCTGATCCCATTAAAGAGTGCTCAATACACAAAAAGTGTAGAGCTAGTTATATATATGATATCAAAGAGGCAAGATTTTGCTGTAACTCCGAGTTTCGTGCTATGCATGCACTCATCAGACAGTATTTAATGATAAACATTCCTATAATCTAGATAATGCCGTGTACCATTTATTAAAATTTATATATATTTTTAAAAATAGCCAAAAGCCACACAAACACCTAACTTGAGTGTTCACTTACATGTATATTACAGTGATTTTCACTTATTTTATTACATGTAATTTAATTATACTTATTTCTGTGTGTGTTTTTACAGAGATGCTTCCTAAAACTCAACAAAGGGAAGACCTCTTGATGAAAGTTCAAGTTCCWACGTCATTAGACAAGCTATCAGTACGTTCTTCATTAAGTTAAATACAGTCAAATCTCCTCTTAATGATACTCTCAAAGAGAGACTGCTCAATAATAATGGACAACTTTCCAAAACCTCATTTTCTTTCATACAGACATCTTATTCGAATGTTCTTGTAAGCAGACAGATTTTTCCATTTCCCAATAGGGTGTCTGCTCACAGGAGATTCAATAATTGTACATAATTGGGTACTTCATAAAGATTACATTTTTCATATTTTATACATGTAAGATGATACAATGATACAACATTTACCCTAACCACACTTTTGATAATCTCATTTTAGCAAAGTATGGCTGACGAGGGTGATGAAACTTGTCCTTCAATCACTGTAACTGTAAGTAGTCCATTTTTAATAAATTGACCAATTGACTCTGGTATTGGTTTTAATAAATGATTTGTCATGATATTGAATGTGCATGGTCACAGTGCATTATTTTGGCCTCAGTTATACAGTATGAGCATCTAAAGCATCTATTTCCAGCAGTTCGCTAATTGTCCAGCTTAATTGTTGGAAGTGGATGCTTTCGTGGTAAAGTTGCTAAAAATATAGAAAAATGCTATCTGAAGATTGATACTTGTGCTTAAGAGCTACATGTAAAATAATCTAAAAAAGATTCATTTTTTGTGAGTTGGATATACATGTATTCTATTTTCTTCTGGGAAAACTAGCCATTGTTCTGGTGCACACAATTAATGGAATTTTCATTTTTTGTTTTTGTTTTTGCTCAATGATCACTGTATTTTGAATTTATCTGTCTTTTCTGTAGATTACCCTTGAGTCTCAAGCACTGCGGCCYATTGAAAATGTAGTTCTTAGTATTAATGCAGACCCACCTTTGGCCTGTAACAGATCMTCCATTGTGTTCCCTATCATCGGTAAATACATGATACTAATAATTGCAAAAAACATTCTCATGAGATTTAGGAACAGTTAGGAGCATGYCTTGAACACTATGCATTCTGATGATCATGATGATGCTGTAGAACAGCGAAAGCTCGACTTCATATTAAGTATATTTACCATCTAACAGCAGTATCCAGCCACATTTGCTATATTTTATTACTCTACTGATATGCTTTCYGTACATGCAAAACTGCATCTTTAAATCATTCAGTAAAAAAAGCTAACTATAGATGACAAATGACATGTAGACGTCAAAAGAAAAGCTGAGACATTACAAAACAAAAATCAGAATGATAATGGCTAATAGCCTGAAAAATACAAACTATTTTGTATTTAAAACTTTTGATATAATTGTACAGATTTAGTGTCATTGTGTGCTATGTTTTATAAGTTTTAATATTAAAACTGATTATTTTACAAGGTGACAGGAAGGAACCGGTTTTTGCAGAAGTTGCATTCTATTCTCGTGGTGGAATAATCCCTGCTTGTCTTGCTGCTCACATCACAGCAACGTACACAACCACATCAGGTCAGTGAATCATTATCTTCATCTTCAATATTATTTTTATCGTCATCATTATCTTAGATCATCAGTGCTAGTACTAAGATGTGGGAATACTATGCACTTATTGACTGAGTGGGAGGGCCGTACGGGAAAATATTTGGCTCGAGGTTATGCCGTACAAATGAACGAGAGACAAATATTTTCCCGTACGGCCCGACCTAACTCAGTCAATAAGCATTTTATCATATGAAAGGGTTTTTTATGTAGAAAAAATAAAAGCGYGCGGAACTTCAAGCCGGGAAGATACGGGTTTGTAAGGCCCCGTCACGAAAATGCATACGGCCCCCACCACGTGACCATTTCCAGAAGGTTTTTTAAGAGCGCGCGCGTAGGGCCGAAATACGGGTCATATGATAAATGTACTTACTTGTTTTATTGCAAGTTTGGGGTCAATAAGTGTTTGTTGACTGTCTATCCGCATGCCAGTGCACATAAAGGCCCGTTTACACTGTCTTGCGATTTTTGAAGCGCGATTGTCTCGGCGATTTTCGCGCTGAGTTTCGACCATGCTTGAAATTTAGCTGCAACTTTGCGGTAATTTTAGATCGATGCAACAATCGCAGGGCTGTTTACACGTACGGTTTTTACATGCAGGCTGTGATAGACAATATTGCGCTTCAAAAATTGCAAGTGTAAACGGGGCAGCAAGACAAGCTGATACACAACAAGACAGGATATAGTTTTATCAACCCCAAATTTGCAATACATGCATGAAGAATGCTGTTTGTCAAGTTCAGAGTTAATTGAGTCCCACAATGTGCAAGGATTTTCGCGATTCTTGTGGCGATCGTCGCGTAAACCATTGCCTGAGTTTCGAACATGCTTGAAAATTGGTTGCAACTTCGCGGCAATTCTCCATAGTCGCAGCAATCGTCAGCAATCGTATAACTGTTTACACGTACATTGTATGGTTTTAGTTGTGCGATAGCAAAGTGGCGATTATCGCGCTGCAAAAATTGCAAGTGTAAAAGGGCCTTAACAATCACTCTTTCTTGGTTTGCAGTCATCTATTTAGTTTAATTATCAAGAAGATACGAGATAAACTAACATTCTGGATGATTTGTTTGTTGAAGATGCACCACGTGTTGCACAACAAAAAGTGGAGTTACCACTGAAGTTGGTTTGCAAACAGGCTCAACCCATGAAGAATGCTACACACAAGGTAGTACCATACTAGAGCGGATTTCGTATGAGTGGGAAACGGACAGTACTGTACTGTGACTGTAATCGTACTGTAACCAAATTCTAGTGCCCCATTGTTTCACCAAAATTCGGCAGGCCAGGTGCGGTAACTGTGCGGTAACGGTGTCCCACTCATACGAAATCCGCTCTATACCAGTCCCATACTGTAATCATAATAATTATTAACATAGTCCATATTGAAGAAAACTCTGTATTTTGGCACTGACATATAGTTTTACACTCAACGCATACCTAGATTCTTGTACATTTGCCACCACAAGTTTCTTTAGAATTGCCATTAATAATCATAATTACAATTGTAATCGTAATCATAATCATAATAATTAGTAAATAGAAATTGAAAAAACTGAGCAAAGAATAAAAGAGTGACTTGTGGCATGAAGCTAAATGCGACTTTGTGTAATTCTTGGCTCCTTCGTGTRGTCAGAATTGCGTTTTAATTGCTAATGTTATTGTTTGTTTTAGTTGACTATTGAAACAAACAARTCTCCAGCAAACCTGGCTGACATATTTCCTGGTAAAGTTTCAAGTCTGTCAAGCATTCTATCAAACACCATCCAATTACTGCATTATTCTGTTGTGTTAATGTTTCGTTTACTCCTCGAAATGATCGAAATTCTTGAAACATGGATTTAGTTTGAATCTGTTGCATTCTAAATGTTGTTTTTCAACTTATTGACTGAAATGACATCGTTTTCAAAAATCACTGCCCGACTGGAAAACGACCAAAAAAACTCAAGCCAGAAGGAAAAAAATAGAAAATCGAATTTCACGATTTAATAGTACTTGAAAAGTACTGGAACTTTGTGATGAAAATGTAAAATGGATCCTGTGCGCCAACCCCATCTATGCTATTCTCACACACAAAGCTGTTTGGTTATCCAGCAATTTATTTGCAAACATACACCTAATTGAAGAAACGTTGTCGGATCCAGGAAGGTCAAATCATAGAAGCTAAGACCGAAAGGGTACTTGGGAAGACAAACAATTTGGCTAATTTCATAACAAACAGCTCTCCAGTATAAAAGACTATGATGCTGTTAATCTTACTAAGCTCTACATGCTTAGTGTACACCGTATATGAAAATGTAATCCCAAAGTGGTACTCAAAATCCCTTTCGGTCTTAGCTTCTATGATGTGACATTTTCGCACACGACTACTTTTTTTCAATTCATTAGGTGTATCAATGGATGGTGCTGTTTAAGTCACAATTTATCAATAATGTTATTCATTGTTGTTTTACATTCACTGTAGATATGGTAGACGATGCTGTCATTCCTCTAGCTGCCATAGGAATACAGTATTATGGTGGGCCAGTTGTTACTGTCTTAGCTTCAAAGACATCCCGTAAGTTAATAGTACTGTRTTGGTTTTTGTGCTATCCATCYATTTGTCTTTTTGGTTCATGCAACTGCGTTTAAACTCCTTATTAAAAACGGGATTTAGTTCACGTTATAAGAGCAATTAAAAAGTCTGAWGATTATTGAGGCATTTTGTTATACTTTTATTCATCTTAATACCCACATTATTAACAGTGACCTTCATCATAGTTAATATAGAGGATGTCCTCTCTATTAACTATGCCTTCATGTAATCTTATTTTTGACTGAAGGGGTGACTGCATAAGATTAAATTAGAAGTGAACGAAAAATTCTACTCGGCTGATCGACTCAGTAGTCTCAGTATACGCATCATTGGTATACTCAGTAAGCATACAGGTTTTTCAAAAACGTTGAATACTAAATATTGTGATGCTACATATCGTAAATTGCTTTCCATCAAAGGTCTATATAAAATTCATTATGATAAAACAATGAAAAAAATCTTTTTTTAAGGCCATACTAGGACCTGCAATACATTTCTGTCTTCAAATGCAATGTACACTTAAATCGCCCCTTGATCCTGATCAGTTATTAACGCTGATTCATCTAAGATTGCTTGTTATTGTGATTTTTGTAGAGAGATATCGTATTCAATGTGACAAGTTTGAAGGGATGTGGCTAGTRCTGTTTCAGCTTGTGCAGCGATTAGAAGCGCACTTCAAGAAGATCAGAGTAAGTTAGACGTACTTTATTCCATGTCATATGTTTGAGGTTTTAATGTAGTTTTCTTTGCAGGATAATGTGGCGTTTCGTGCATCGTTTATGGGACCACTACCATTGCAGGAATATTATGAACTTATAGATGCTCACTTTGAGGTAACTCCATCAAATGTCTATTCCCAACATTAATCYTACCTTTTTGCTAGCAGCGAACTTTAGATTTGACAACGATCACGAGATTGAGTAGAAGTACGAGTTTTAAAATTGGCTTTTTGTGTTGATCACGAATAGCRTTCTTGTACATAGAATACTGAAATGTGGACTGAAATCCAGTATGAATAACAAAAGACAAGCAAATTTTAAAACTCGTACACATACTTCAATTTTAGGCGATTGAAAATGCATGCTTTTGAAAGTAAAGATTTCTGTTGAGAACCCCATGACCAGATTTCTTATATTTTCGCACAATTTTCACCAATTCAAAATGGCAGAAGTTAACATGAGCTACATGTAATCTGTGTTGCCATAAACAAGCTAATGGTGAAAATTTTCTTCAATATTATTTTCCTTTTTATTATCATTTATTATTTCATTTAAAGTATGACGTATTCTTTTTTGTTGTTTTAGTTTGATTGTCTACTCATGTTGTATCAAATTGATGTTCTTATTTCAGCTGAGAAAAAATCAAATGAAATATCGCGATGTGTTAGCCAATCGTGCGCAACAGTTTCGTTCGATTCAACGTCGTCTACTCACACGTTTTAAGGATAAAACACCMGCWCCGTTACAGAACCTGGATACACTATTAGATGGCACTTACCGGCAGGTAAACCTCTTCCCTTTTGGGAATACCTCTCCCCCCTCAAAGGTTTTTCGGCAATTTAGCGAAAATGATACGTTATAAGGCTTTTTAGAATATCAAAGATGTGTATGAAAAGATTTCACAAGGTTTTCGATTTAAAGACATCTGAATAACCCTTTTCGCGGTTAGGAAACAACAAGCTGCGCGAGGAGCCTGTGGTTTTACACCAAAGCGAGGCAAAYTCGGGAACAACCCAAAACGTTGTCCTTTTTGAGCTTGTTTATCCTTTTGCGGTGGAAGAAAAATAATTTTGATGGTAAAAAAGTAATAATTTTGATATCATTGGCATCCCTGTTCATTTGAGGGCTAAAGCAAACATGTTGCCCGCTTTGGTTTTAACCACGAAAAGGTCGATTGTTTTCAGTTTAAAAGACTGTTGATTTGTGCCGAAAAGACTTTGTGAAAAGACGTTTGTGCGAAAGAACAGTAATTCCTTTTTTTCAACTCGTAATGCAATTTGTTGTTAAACATTTTCACGACGTCTTGCTTTTCGAGAATGTTGTATTTCCTTGTGAAAAAGATAAAACAGTCAATTTTTTGTTCTCTTTCAGTTGCTACACCTGAGCGAAGCCGARGAAGACTGCAAACGAGCAATAGAAGAAGCTGCGGTAGCTTTATCTTCTGCAACACGTCTTATCAACTTTCTTATCAAGTATGTCTTTAAACATTTCACGTCAAACAATAAAAGATTTTAAATATAAGCCGATGCTAAACTGTAAAATTTCTCTGGCAGCTGCGTTGTAAAATATGTCCCGAAGGAAATTTAGGTCTTGCTACTCTGTGCAAGTTTCGCATCGTCGTTTCGAAATAAGTTGTTAATAACTCATTACAGAGGCATGTGTTGCATGTTGCTGCAACACGTTTTGCCGAAAGTATACGTGAGTTTTCCTTCTACTTGCACTGTGCCGTTGAAGGTAGTAATTTAATGAGTAAATGCGCTTTGTAACTGAATAGCACCTTAAAGCTAATTTCATCGTCTGGTCTGGGAATGTAACCCTAGGCTGTAACCCTATGCGTTAACCACTATGGATCATCGCGTAATTTGACGCGTGTCTTTACACAAAAACACACTATATGATGACAAAATGATATCTTTTTTCTTAGATTATGGACGAACATGTCRGACAAAGATTATGAAGTCTTGGAGACTGTTATTACACCTCTTGTTTCTCATAATGAAGACCAGGTATAAATGGGTTGTTGTGCAGTGTTGCGCATGCCACACTTCCAATAATAAAGTATATATTTTAACAGTGTTTGTCATTGTCAGGGCTGGGAGGAGATGGTTGACGCTGCAATATCGCATCTATTGAGAACCTGTTTATCAAAAAGTGCCAAGGACCAATCAGGTTTGTTCATCATTGTCCTCGTTATCAGTCAGCTAATAGACCCTCTTTCTGAGAGTACGTAATGCGCAAAATAACCGGAAACACCAGAAACACGATCGAATTACATGAACGTGGCTCAGTTTGTATTTTCGCCAATCCCATCGTGCATCTCGTCAACGTTTTTTAGGTCAAAAGACGATTGATTATGAGAAAGAGATATAATCGCCTATAGAACCCTTGCATTTGGATTACTCTTAGAGAAGGTCATTTTATTCAGTGCTGGTAGTTTGTTTTGCTTTCCCACTCTTCATTTCGGTCTTGGTGGCGTTGATAATACAACATTTTTGGAATCCGATTAAGTTTTTTCATAATGAGCATTAACTGTACATTTGTTCATGTAGTGAGCATCACGCCACTAATGATGCCTAAAGACACGAGCAAGCTAAAGAAACACGTGGCTCTGCTTTGTGATCGTTTAAATAAAGGAGGGAAACTGGACCTAACTATGTCGTCAGGGCAACAAAGCAGCGATTTACCCATGATGCAACAGCAGAAGCAAGTCAAGGCATTGGAACCTCTCGACGAAATGCAGGAAGAAGACGACGAGAATGGTAAGTAGATGATCAGTTCAACTTTTTTAGGTAAATATGTGACGGTTATCGACTTCATAAAGCATTTTAATGCTTTAACACTTAAAAGTGTTCAATAGTTTCTTGCTCCGCAATAGGTCTTTTGCATGAAACGGTCACATGGTACTAAATCCGCCATGCTGGATGGCAAAATACCCACTGGGATGCTCAAAAAAAAAAAAAAGTCAAGCTTGAAGTGCTACGTTCCTTTTGTTTTTGAGGTTGTTTACATTCTTTTKTCATCCAGTATGGCGGATTTAGTACCATGTGACCGTTTCATACAAAAGCCTTTTTATTATCATTTATGCGATAAAAATTCATCCAAGTCCCGAAATATAATATTTAGTACAAAGCATGTTATGTTTTSAAGTTAAAACTTGATTATCTTCACCGAGTATTTTCGAAATGGCTTATTTCTTTGCCTTTACCACGTGATTATGACGTGCGCGTGCCTTAATGTTGATAAACGACTGCGAATATAACACAACTGTGCTATGTTTTGTAGACGGTACTCCGAATGGTTCTTTGAGTGATCTTCCACCTATTGCTCATAAGAAATCTGATTTAAACAAGCGACTTCACATCACACAAGGAAGTACCGAAGAAGGTCTGATATCTAGAGGTGTTGAAGCAGCTTTGATTGCTAATGGTCACGACTCCACCTAACAAATCAATTGGGCTTATTTTRACCAATGATAGGCTTCGTATCACGTGATTTTAGCGGGCTAGTCACGTGACGTCATAAYCTGGGGGTCTTGCTTCCCAGACGGCAAAAGTTGCGTTACGTCGATAGATATCGCTCGACAAGCTACGTTCGTGAGGAGCCATTAGTGTGGCGTCGTCATATTCATGGACAGGTCATGTGAAAACGTTCGTCACATCATTCAACCAAAAGCCATCATCACATCATTCTCAGTCATTCGCTATAGAAACGTTGTCACTTCATTAATCAGCAGCTATCGTGTGACAAGCCATCATCGACAGCTAATTCACGCGACAAGCTGCGTGGCATTCATTCATTCGATGATCGAAAGTCATTCACAAAGCCAACTCGGTGTCACTTAGACGTGACTAGCAGTCAAGGAATTATATGTATATAAATTTGCATGAACTGAAATTATCAAAGAGATTGTACGTCATTGAAATTATTTAAAGAAAACAAAACCATAAGAGATACCATAAGAGATAGAATGGTTTTTGTATGACATTTGTGAGAAACAAACCTTGCTGCTCGACGGACATCTAGTGTAACCCTCAACGGTCATATGAGAAAACAGGTAGCCAAATCCAATAAATACGGGAAAAAGTGGAGTGACGCCTGCGATTAAGGCTAGTCTGAAGCTTCGGTACGATTTCGATCATTTTATTGTGTATAGTCTACAGTCATCTKAKAGGCTTGTAGTAATTTTGTGGGCAAKACAGTTTAGTTTTCAACYCATAAAGGATATGAGGCAAAGAMCACACTGTAGTCCACTGTGGATGTAAAACCCTGACCACTACATTACAATTGTATGCTAGTTTATTTATCATAATATACCTGTTCAATAAAATCCGTCGATTTGATTGGCTCTAGCTGCATTTTTTGTAACCACGCCTGCACGACTWAGCGGATAACTTACATCGAACCCATTGTTATCGTCAGGGAAATGACAGAAGAATACACCTGGGAAAACTCACATTTTCACACCAATAAACSAACTCAAAAGGAGTTGTTGTTACCTTATGGCAATTTTTGTCCATATTCATGAGCTATATTTGTGCTGAAAACGGGTAAAAAGTCAAAAGCGTTCCTCGAGCTATATCTTGTATAAACAACTAGCCTCAAGAGCATTCAAGTAATGAGAAAGGTAATGTTATCATGCTTTTGTCATTCCGTTTTAAGGCCAAATTAATTAAGTCATCCTAACAACATAGCTACAACTGTGGTGAGGATGTAAAAAGGTTAGTGGTTCATAGTWGCCCTGCTACAGTTGTGGCCGTATTGTAAGGATGACCTAGGCAGTTGCATGYGATGATTGTAGGTAAAAGTTGTGCTGTGCACGGCCTTTAGAACATCAAAATTTTACAAATTAAGACTCTTATTCATCAATTCAAACAGTATGTTTTTTTAGCCTCAGAATTGAGTCATAGAAGAGTAATAACATTTCACTGCAAATCAAAACGGCTTTAAGAATCACAACCAAAAACCTCCATATACCTTACGAACCGAAGCGACATTTTAGGTGGACACGAAAATGACGGATTCGTATGATTTCTTAAAGTAAGCGCGAATAGTCTTCCATCCTTTTGGTCTGGACAGAAATACCTTTAACTAAGTACCTCACATGCAGGTACTTTCAATCTATAATCTATTGTATGCTTGACGCATGTAAACAATAACATAAGCGCGCGCTGTATTGTGGTTGGTTGGGATTCTTTAAACCATACCCGGTGGGTCTTGTTTTTGTAGACATTTTTTTTTTTTCGCTCAGAGTCATGTTAACAAGTTGAATATAGGTCCTCTTCGCGCTGATAGACTGCTTCCTCTTCAAGAAATCAGCTAGAAGAGYGTAAACTTCCAAAAAGTCCTTTTATCCTCCCGGTTCAAGGGACAGACTCTCGCTCTCTGCGCTCCCTTTTTCGAACTTTCGCTCGATTCTCGAATAGAAAAACTTTGCAACAACGCCGTGCTGACATTTTTTATTGCTCAAAGTTTGTTTCGTTAGTACTTTACTTCAGTCGTAAGCTGAATAATTTTGATGTATAAAATGGCATAAAGTACAAACTGGGACACTACTAGGTTTTGTAGTGGGTTCTGTGCGTGCTGACGGGATGTTGGCACATCGAGGGAAATACACAGGYACGTGATCGCTCGTCTAGAACTTGTCCCGCGGGACACGTACAGCCGGGCACACAATGCTGTTGTGGACAGGCGAATGCTGGGTCGTCTTTAGTACGGCATGTTTTCTTACATGATGGTACGCAGTCGTCGAAGACGGAACCGCCTTTACAGGTTATTCCTGTGAAAAGCAATGAAAATAGCGTTCATTGTTTTGAACATGCTTGGAATGTAGCTGCAACTTCGCGACGATTATCGCTCAAAAAGGTGCAAAATTTACCGTTCTTACTCGATTGCGGAAAATTTGCAGGTCAAGTGAGATTTCMATATGGCACTTTTTATATCAATTTGCAATTTTTATCAAGTCATACGATGATCGCAGCAACAATCGCAGGGCTGTTTACTGSGTACGATTTGAGTTGCGCGATAGCTACGTGCTGATTGTCTCGCGCAACAATCGCGCTGCAAAAATCTAGTGCAAGTGTAAACGGGCGTCAATGTAATGCAAGTATATTCAAATTCATGGAACGAAAGCAGATAACTTCAGTTTTTCCTATTTGTACTTACCGCACACCTTTCGTCTTGGCCACTTSACGGTGACATCCATTCTTGTACAAGCACGAGCGTAGGCCAGCAGAGACTCACATTCACATCTCTTGTTATAACACGTGCAGACATCATTGATGCAATCTTTATAATACTTGTGAGGACTCACTRCTTTGTGACAGTTAGCAAAATGACGTTTTATTGGCAAGCAGCGTTTCCTTGCGCGCCACTGATGCTTTATCTGGCAGGAAGCGGTCTCTTTAGGCGGCGCAGGCGCTCTTTTACAGCTCTTTCTCAATCGACCAATTGTCCAGCTYGATGCAAACTTGTGTACAGAGTTCGTGAGCTGYCCGCYTTTGAGCATGAAATCATCGCTTGGATCAGTGTTGAAGTTACCGCATAAACCACAAGTTTGATGTTGGTAGCGATTGGGTACATGGACTTCGATGTAACTGTCCCCATCCCATAATATCTGMACGCCAATATCAGTCAAAACTGTCACCACAAAGTTCTTTTTWGTGATATGTAAACGAGGCAGATCGTAAAAAGGCAGCTTGACTTGTTTTCGATCAACACGAACCACTAGTCCTGGTTGGAGAGAGACGTGGGTTAAACCAATCGAAATTCCAAGAAACTTAGCTCGTGATTTTTTTCTTCGTTCGTTGCGCATGCGTATAGTGAAGTTTTCGTATTTGCAGTCAGCGGCAAGCTTGTAGCGGCAGTTTCCTCTGAAGTTATACATCTTGCCATCAAATGTTTGGAAATGTGGTTCGCCATAGGATGTGCATACACCAGTTTCTARTGAAAAGAGGAATGAAGGCAGCTCAGCAAAGCTATACTTATCTCAAAACATAACATGCAAGTATGGGTTCAGCAATTTTGCTTTAAACTAATGAAAGTTTGGACCTTAACAATCACATAATCAAAGAAAGTTTTTGATACTATATAAATTCCGTGGTTTTTAAGTGTCTTCTCCTCTCGAATAAACTTCTTTCCAAGCAAAAAGTCGACACTCTYCCAGGCTACACTCGGACAGCTTTTTGCCGTATGACGTCATGCTGGATAGAGTAGACTAGCCTGAGGACGAGGTAAAAGAAAAGTTGGTATATTCCTTGCTTTGTCCTTACCCTCGATACATTCAAGACAGCAAGAGCCTGGCTTTAGTCCACGCTTCATACCCTGCAAGATAATATGATTTTCAGTGAGACATTGGTATATATTTTTTCTTAGTGACGTTTATGGATGAAAACAAGACGTCCCACCACGTAGGATCAAACAGGAATAAACCGACTCTTACAAAGCCTATTTGAACTTTTCGTGAAAAGCTGAGTTAAATAAGTCACCACTGAGGTGTTCCGACCACCGGGAACAGTGAAACCAAAACAATGCTTTTTCTCATTCGTTACTACAAAAATATGCATTGCAAACATGAATTAGAAGTCTTTGCTGAATTCGTAAATGTCTTCTTTTGAGTTATGCGTGATGAGCGCTTTAAAAAGCTACATGTGATGCCTCTATCAGCTACTACAGTAAGTACTGTACTGCATACGATTATGCAGTTCTTGAGTGCGCGTGCAGCTGAGAGCGTATTGCTATTTCATTTAAAAAATGACATTACTTCGCTTTTTGACAAAAACAATGTCTTGTTTTGATTGATTGATTGATTGATTGGCTGATTGATTGATTAATTGATTGATTGATTGATTGATTGATATCGGTATGCTTGCAAAGGATTTATATCTTCAATGATGTATTATTTTTCAAAAGCTTTACTTACCTTTGGACATGTTAAGTTGGGTTCACATTGCTGCCTTTCACATATAATCGTTTTGTTATTACATTGACAAACACGACAGTCGATTTCGTACCATCTCTCGCCATTCTGATGAAATTTAATTGCATTATATATATTACATTACATTTCCATTTCATTACGTTACATTACGTTATGCGTTACTTTACTTTACTTTACATTTATATTCCATTACATTGCTTAACATTTACATTGCATTTCATCATGTTATTCTACATTGCATAAAATTGCATTACAATTATAATTTTGAAACATTTTGCTTATAGATATACCTTGTAAGAGCGCTGAGATCTGAAGCACAACGAAGATTCTTTGCAAAAATAAAAACTTAATCAGTAAAAAGTTGGTTTTATGGGTACAAATATTTTGGGAAATGTTGTAGAAGGGAATAGAAAAACCACAACATGCTGTACAAGTTTTATGTTAAAGCTACAATGTTAATAGCTTTATTAAATTAGGCCTAGATATAGGTTAGGTTCGATTTATGGTTGACGATTAAATTTGTCTTGTTCTTTAAAAAGCAGGTGAGAGAYCGTCTAAAATAAATTCAGACTGCATCTCAGGTATACGGATAATGTTTATCGTTTTTTTGTCACAAACAAAGGATGCCGTCRTACGTTTCGGTGGTTTGGTGTGCGGTAGGCCTAAACGCATTAAAACTATCACGTGGTTTCGGAAATATCGGTTTCGTCTAAGCGCAGCCTCAAATACCCACAGTGCCTGTCGGTCGTGCACTCTAGATTCTCYTTCCTCAACCTTTCAGAAATAATGTACTGTGTACTGTTAACAGACATTATCATGAGGATTAACTGTTCTTTTGGTCTGTACTATTCCGTTCCAAATCACGTGCAAAATTGCTCGGCCAAAGAATATGGACGCGAACACRWGACTATCTATAAYCTTTGATGACGTTGAATTCACGAGTTAAGCCGATTATCACACGTATTCACGAGTCTTAAATCTATATCTAAACAATTTTGTTAGCAAAAAAACTTAATAAACGAGACAAGATTAATTCAAAGTATACTTGCATAATAAGGTCGAAGTTAGCATCTTATTACTAGGTCATTAAGTTTGCAATGAAACGTGTATTGAAAGTTTTTAGCTTGTCTTTGTTCAATAGCAAAGTGTGGCTTTGTCTGAATTATTTAAAAATCAAATTGATGACTTAAAATCACAGAAAATGGTAATGATTGTTACTTATTTTCTCTTTCGCAGTGAATTTTTCAGCGTTGATTTATTTTTAGAACCTACGTGCGGCGTTATAACATGGAGCAACCCAAATACCAACTTTYTGATTTCAGCCAATCATCGCGTGATTTGAGTGATGATGAGATTCTGGGATGGTATAGCGCTATAGCGATGTGTTTCAATATCAAACGTTCACATTCCAACAGCATTGCGTGCCTTTTTGATGGAAAATTGATTAGTTCATAACTTTGTTTAGGCTATTGACTGCTATTTATCATAGTCGTGGCGCCTTATTATCAGATAGCGGCTTACCTAACATCAACCCAATCTAACCCCTGACTGTTTTCTGCCAAACAATGGAATATAGCTTAAGGTGTGTGCAGTCTACGTTGCATCTAACTTACCAACACATATTGGGCAGCACTTTCCAGGAACTTTTTCCAGTTTTCCGTTACACTGTACTTTGGTTGGACATTTGTATCGAGTGCAAATGACTTGYGCTCCCTCAAAAACATGAAAAAACAAACGGTTTATTATTAAAAAATATCACTTGGATTGAATACAACATACCATTACTGAGGTAAATGCATAAAATCCTTGATGTTTCCACAGGGTTCAAAATCTTGCTGTCTTAAACATGTTATATAAGCAAGTACAAAATAAATGATAAACCGAAAATATTCATGTTTTGCAAAGGCATTGGATTAAATTAGGGCGTGTGTGTTTCGTTTCGTTTTCTTTTGGCAACTCTTGGATAACTTGAATATAGTTTAATCTTGTAGGAATATAAGGTGATCATGATTTCTTAGATCATTTCCAATTCACAAAATTATAAAATTCCGTCCTATATCATTCCTGTTTATTGTGCTATTTTTGAGTCTTGTCTAGATATCAGTTTCGGATCAAAAGATGGACTATTCATGATTATTGAGCGAGTTATTATCAATGATTATGATGAACTGACAAGCCTTTACTTTGCACAATATTTTCTTCTCTCAATACACAACAGTCGGCATAGGAAACCAGATTCTTTTTTGTCTAAATGGTGGAAACTAGCAGCGAACTAGTATAGTGCGTCGGTGTTTCTAAAGAAACGGTTGTGTAAAAAGATAAATTTAACACCGTAAAAAAGTACGTGAAATAACATACTGACGACAAAAAAGAAAAAACAATTGATCATATAAGTATCAGTATGAAATACCTATAATTCTCCATTTCGTAAAGTTGTTATTTTSACTAGTGAAAGAACACAACATTCGAGGTTTTCTCTATATAGTGGAAGTAAGAAAAAAAATGTGTTTTACGACATAATTTGCTTTCATGTGTAATCATGTGATAAACAGAATATTACATGATTGCTTGGAGATACCAATTTTATCTTCTCGTGTTAAAAATCTCTTCAACACTCGAAGATAAAATCCGTACCTCTGCGCACCAATGTAATATCCTCTATATGCATGTTTTGCCTGTRMTTCTTCACATAATGTGTCTTTAGTTTGTTGGATATTAAGCCTAACAAGAAAGAGTRCTAGTAACAGCATTAAATCCCAATATTTTTTTCAGGTTTTGATTAAGTAGAGGTTAGAGAGTGGGATCTGGAGTCCTAAGTTTTCAAAGGCCACGAGGCTGGAACATCCCTGACCTATTTATTGTAATATATAAGGCTGATTCCATCTTTTTTCTATATGTTCCTTTTTCAGGCAAACGTATACTATTCTAACTAAATCGCTATCCTTCAAAGTCGACTTCTCATGATATAAAGTGACGAGTTATGACTCTAAAAAGTTTAACGTATTTAAATTTTTCGCGGGAATGGTTAAGCCCTTAATCTTTAAGTGTTGTTGTGTGGAGCATATTTTGAGGTAAAGTTGATTTAGTAAGCTTTACATAAGCTATCACACTKTATATTAAACAGTGACAATGGATTACAATCCTACACAATGACAGGGTTCTGATCGGTGGAAGACCCTGAGGTAGTTTAGAAGTGTCATTGAAGTTATTAGATTGTATGTAACGGAAGTTTTGTGGTAATACAGTACTCTATAGTAACCATGCATTTCAATGTCTGCCGTCGTGCACGGAAACTATCAACTGGAGTAACTTGAGGAGAAAAAACTTTTTTTTTCTCGTCTTCGAAAAGTATGGGGTATAGAGTGATTCACACTGGTCAAGAAGAGATTCATTTGTTGCTATCAGTTTGATGTCTGTTTTCCAATGATTGCCTTACAACCCCATTGCACAAGATCACTGTTTATTAAGCTATTGTATTRACACTTGTGCTCGGGATAAAGACCTCTAAACCACGGAGCTTAAATAACTTGCTTTGTTTAAGACTTCTATCCTTAGTGAAATCACAAGAAATGCTCATGCAAGCCCAACAGCAAGTGCATTAGACATTACTTTTCAATTTTCACGACAAAACTTCGGAATAATTTTTCCGATATAGAAATTATTAACAATCAAAACATTTACTTTTGATGCGGAAGAAGATCAAAAAGACCATTAGAATTGAAAATAGGAATTGTAACTTGAATAATTTACCTGGCAGCGACACGAGATGCAAGGATTTCCCGCCAAAATGGGTAGACGCAGTACGCTGTCGTCAGAACAACTAGCAAGTCTACCTAAGTCAGCAGATTAAAACAGTTTTTAGATAATGCTTTACAAAGCATGGTGGTATACAAGACGGTTTTACCTTGCAGTGATTCTGGGTGTGCTTCCCAAAAGAAGAGAATAGCAAGCAACGTTGTCAGAGAGATGTTGTGAAAGGAACACATCGCAGCAACTCCTGCTCTCAATCGTCAAACATTCTACAACGTTAATCAAAGGCTTTTTATCATTTTTTTTGTTACGCATGTAACTGCCTTTATACAAAGGGTTATAGCTGGAGGGATGATTCGCCAATGCCGTGATTGGCAACCCACGTCTTTTGTGTGACTATACAGCCAGTCGATGCTTACAAAMATAGATTTACACGATTGTGTGAAGCTACTTGATTGTACATGACGACGAATTCGAGAGTCTTGACCCAGGACGCAATATCATTCGTTGTACTAATACTACATGGTGATCAGTAATGATATACCTATGAATCGTTATTGCCCTCCGTTTCTCTAAGATTACAGTAAGCCCTGAGCACGTCAAATGCCATCAAAGCCAAGACTGCTTTCGTCTGATGACATGATGGTGTTTCAGACTTTTTGGCTGTTTCTACAATGATTTGCATTCCTTTGATTGAGCACATTAATAGGAATTATGTCTTCAATGGAGGTAGCCATGAAGGCGCCGAGACGACGTTCTACAATAGAGCGAATTAGAATGGCTTGCAAAAAGATAAAAAAACTCTTAAATGTAAATAAAGATTAACAGTGCAGTCGTTTCATATCAAAAACCTATAAACCCATCATTTAATGCTTCATGGGACCAAAGGCTCCAAATTTGGTCATCGCAAAAACTATTACAGCGAGGCCTAAAGCATTAAAGAAATATACAAACTTTATTTGTTAACYTCACAATTCCTAAATTTCTCAAAGTGTTTTGAGCTATTTTTAAAAAAGACAATGCATTCTCTCAATGGGCATAGTCTATATGACTATAAAGCAAAAATACATGGTCCTAGAACATGTCGCCAGAATGTCGTCGTTTGGCGAGCTCCCGTAAATACAATTCAGATTTAATGATTAGCAGTCATAAGAGATTCTCTGAAGTATAGCCATTTATTTGGTCTGTTATTGAGTAAAGCAATGCTCATAGCTTTAGAAGTAGATAACAAGAGTAAAATACGGAAGTCTAGTTTATCTTGTACGGCATCCGTGATCACTAGAAGCAACCGAAGACAAAGTTTACTGAATTATCTGCCCTCAAGGAATCAAATCAGGCTTCTGTCCTAAATTGCCTGTTCTTAGAAGCCATGTTTTATGAATATATGATAGATAATCAAAAGGATTAAAAGTGAATGCATCAGCTCTATATAAATAGTTCATGCAAAGTCTGTTTCTTGCCACAAATGACTTTAGATTTGTGGTCAGTTAGGCCATTATTAGCCTGTGTCTGAGTCATTTCTCGATTAAAATTTGCCCAGTTCATTAAAAGAAATATTTCYCGGCGGATTTTCACTGTTTTGAAATAACAATTCTTTAATATGGTACTGCGAAAAAAACAGCGATCCGTTTTTTTCTAAAACTTCAGCATTATCCGYTGAGCGGTTATAGCTAGAATCGTAGTACATCGCGATGGAAGATGTTCACCGAGCATGCTTTGCGCGCTTAACAAGAGATTRTAATCACACTTTATTCACAAGGTTTCATTCTCCAGCGTAAGGACAGCACTAATGAACGAATAACTATCGGTTTTGGAGAGGCATATTTTGAGAGCAATTCGTCATTTAAATTTTTCAAGTGTTTTCTATATATGTACTGTAACCAAATTACAGAGACAACATATTTTCAATCTTTGTCATAACATACAAGCTATAGGTGTACTTAAGTCATTTGTTTTGATAAAATAGCTCGTTAGCTTTGTCAACAATTCATGTCGGTCCTTAGGTATAAATCTGTTTCATCTACAATGATTTGCGCGGCTATGGAATTGTTGACATACCGGATATTAGCACGGGCAAAGCGATTTACATATTTTTTTCTTTACTTTTTCGCTGACTTGTTTTTAAGAGGAACATATCATCGCGTGCGCTTTCAAGATAAATCTTTCTCAAGACGAAAGAAACTTTCGCAAATGCTATCGGATGTAMGATCTTCATCAACGATGCTCACACCGAAAGCCTAAATTTGAATCGCCTGAACGTGGCCATGTTTGCTGACTGAAAGCAAAAGGAAAAATAGATAATTTCAGATAACGAACCCGATTTTATACCTCGGGCATTTTTCTGGTGTCCGAATAATTACATAAAATAGCAAAATCCGACGTAAAATCGAATTTGCAATGTAATAATTTCTGCKATAATATCCTCTTTTTTGCCTTTACTCATGCAAGAACTAGACTCGAACCCAGTCGCTCCTCTCGYTTTTTGGGCTGCGCGCAATGGTTCAAGGGAAGGGAGTCGAAAAAATAACGAGTGGGTCTGTAAGAACACCGATTTTTGTAGTTAGTTCAGGCTTATTGTGTTCAGTTTCTGTGGAATCAGACTTAAAGTGTTCTTTTAAAAGGTTTTCTTGAGATTGAAAAACGTTGCCAATATCACTGAACTTGTAAGTACAAGCAATAAATAACACACTATACACTTAATCTCCTACACAGGGTATCGCCTATAACCTCTATCTACGATATACTTGTCCACTACAAATCTAATGAGCTAACACTTGATATTTTAGGCTGAGTGGGTTTTTATTTAGACGTTATACTTATACCAAATTTTATCTTAGGCGTTCTTAACACAACCGTTGTAATTAGGCGTGGGCGTTGGCTGTACCTCTGATGTTTATTCTCTTGACTCCATTGGTATATTCCTCCGTACATAACTGCGTGGTACCAATAATATTGTAAAACGATGATTGCATAAAACGAAATTAAAAAAACTATCAACTTGTTGCTGTGTGAATTTATCTTCAGTGTTTCCTTTTTTATGGTCTGTTTTTTTGTTGTTGTTGCTTTTTGTTTTAAATAAAAACAATGTTGACGAGTTGAGGGTTCTTATTTCTCGGCCTTTACAAAGAGAAGCTCTTGTYGGACACAGCTGAGTTATTAATCTCGCGGACAACTCTTGATGAAAACTGTCAGGTAGTCATCATCCGACTGGGATTTTCCAAGGTTTCAAATTATATATACGTATTTTCCCGTTTTAGTGTACATTCACATTATTATTTCGTTTAGAAATAATTGTAACTTATTGCAACTTATTGACAGTTATTGGAGGTAATTTAAGGAGTTGGAAGTCATTGAATTTATCCGAGTAGGAGGGAATTGGATCGCGAACGTCAGTAGAGGCTGCTAGAGGACTGTCAAGTAGAGGCCATTACAGGAAGTCATCCATTATTGGAGGTTGCTGGAGGTCAGTGGATAATGCTGGAGGTCAGAGAAGGAACGTTTCATTTGAAGGTCATTAATGGTCAGTCGACCTTTTCTGGAGGTCAGTGAAGGTTTTTGAAGGTCATTGCTGGTCAGTCGACCTTTTCTGGAGGTCAGTGGAGGTTTTTGAAGGTCGTTGATGGTCATCCGACCTTTTCTGGAGGTCACTGAAGGTTTTTGAAGGTCAGTGATGGTCATCCGACCTTTTCTGGAGGTCAGTGAAGGTTTTTGAAGGTCATTGCTGGTCAGTCGACCTTTCCTGGAGGTCAGTGGAGGTTTTTGAGGGTCATTGCTGGTCACTGAGTATAAGGGACAAATTCCATCATCATTTTGTCAAATTTTTACATTGATTAGAGTAGGTCTAGTTGTAGGTAACGTTAGGCTATTAAAGGTCATTTTAGGTTACTGGAGACTCGACAATGGCATACAAAAACCTCAAGAACCTCCAKTGACCTTTTTCTCGCTATTTTTGTGATAGTTCATAAGTCTTCAACCATAATCTATGCATCTATAAGAATATGTAGAACACTCGRCAATGTAGTGATACATCTCCTAGCAAGCCGGACTATTGCGTTCAGTCAGAGGACATTTTTTACTTTATTTCAAAAAGGTCTATCAAACCTTCACAAGATGGAGCAAAAGCGAGGACTAAGATCAAACCATGAAGGACGGATGAGTAGTGGTCACCAGTCAAAACTTTGACTGTCATTTTTGAAGTAAAGACTTAAAGAAACACGTCAGGCAATGAAATTTCTAATATGCTACAAACGCACTCAAGGTTCGCAGTACGTCTAGCAAAAATTTCCAATTTGCGGCTGAACTTTAGTGATTGGTCAATTAGCGATGACATCACAGSTAGTGAGAATGCAATTATCTCTCTGTAAAACCGTTTTTCAGTATTTGATTCAAGAAAAAGAAAGGTAAGCAATTTATCTCGGATCGGCACAGCATTTGACAACAAGGAAATAATCGATATTACCGGTGTGGTGGTAAGTTATGTTATCATAATTAATATAAGTAAACAGATACAGTCAAAAAACAAAAAAACAAAATTATAATAAATATATAAACATCCAGTCATTCTATACATTCCGTTCGTTAACAGTGAACAATCTAATGTCGGTTATATA